GTGAGGTATCAGGGGGAAAGAGGAGGCATGGATGATGCCTAATTTCTGGCCTGAATGAATGGAAAGAGTACCAGGCTAGCTTGGCTTGATCTGCCCGAGTCCCATTCGAACACCCCACCTTGGAACGCCTGGGACAAATCTTCAGAAGCCCAAAGCTCGAGAAGCAAGAACCTTTCAAAAACCACTGAGTTGGAGAATCTTTATGGTTCCTTCCAGTCTTGAATGTTATTTTTTATTTGAAACTGAAAACTCTCTGTGAATAGGGACAATACTTCTTTTGACTTCTCCTGTAGTTACCTTGGTAGAGCTCTGTACCCAGGGAACATTCAGTAAGTACTCATTGACTGTTCACTTTGGCACAGACCTTCTGTAATTGAATTTTAGATTAAATTCCCCTTTTAAAATAGGATTCTAACTTAAACTTTCAATTGAAATTAATTTACCTTGATAAAGTAGAGCCATGGCAAGGATAATCTAAAATTATAAAATCTGAAGTACTTTCTATTTGAGTTGAGGCAGAGAAAAAAATGTGTTTACGCTAAACTATCTAAAGTTAGGTAAATGTTATTTTAAGGCAAATGCCAACAGGTAGTGGATCAAGCTCATTCAGAAGAGAACCAAAAAAAAAAAAAAACACTGAAAATAATTCATAACAATGAATATAATTTATATTTGGTAATACGTTCTTTATTGAAAACAAATATTAATCCTCTTAAAATTAATTTGAAGCAATGACTTCAGGCAATTTTTTAGACCTGTTTTAAAGATGAATGAGATGGCGATGGAGCTGTGTTAGCAGTCCAAGACAAAAATCAAAGAAAAGCTAGACTCAAACTTACCATTTCCTGTCCTCTTTTCCACTGCTGCTTCTTTGCTGGGCATGCCACTTTTTCAGATATCATGTTTCCTAGCCATTTTCCCAGGTTGAAAACTCAGAACTTCAATATCTATAGGCACATTGATCAAATCCTCAGATAATTACACCATTCCACACCTTTTGTTTTATTAAAGAGGAAAGTAAAATAACAATGCCTTTTATAAGCCAAGCACTTTTGAACAAATGTCATGTCATTGGATGCTGCTTATTACTTGATGATGAATGTCCCATTTCACAAATGAGATGAGAGGATTGACAGTCCAGCATCTGATCTGCTTTCTGTTTGGAATGAGTCCCCTGCTGTGGATAGAGTCAGTGAGAAGGATACTACACCATGGGCATCATGGCAGCAAGACCGTAATCATTGACTGCCATGATGATCAGGTCTCAGAATGTGGCCTAAGGTTGGCCAAACAGAGTGCCATTGCCTGGGTTTGATTTTGCAGCATGGGGCACAGAGATAGAAGGAATGTTAGACATCTTTCCCAGTGGCAGCAGCTGTGGCCGTGTATCTGGTGGTGGCATTGTGGCAGTGCCCAGCAATTGAACCTCCTGACCAGAAAGTGTTGCTAAAGGAGATTGTTCTTTCTCCGCTAGCCTTTGGTTTTCAGCCAGATTTCCAAGTCTGATTCTTCAGCTCTTGTCAAGCCAGAGATATGTCTTCAGTAAATTCTAGTTTTGGTTGATATAGCTAGAGTTGGTACAGTTCTTGCAACCAGAAACCCTAACCAATCTCCTCAATCAGAGAGCTTGTTCAGGGCCCTCAGCTAGCAAGTAGTAATGTTCTGACTGCGAAGTCTGCTACTTCCTTGATTTCATGCTTCCCGAAGAATTCTAAAGAAGGGTGTAGAGAAAAGGAGTGAGCATAGTACCAGATTAGAGTGGGTCTTGAAGACCAGCAGGTATATGAACACTACCTCAAAAATCCACATTCAGTAACATATCCATAAATAAGTGGGGTCTACTCTTTGCCAGGGACTATGCTATGTTCAAATATTATTTCAGTTAATTCTCACAATATGATTATTTTCTTCATTGTTCAGATAGAAAAACTGAGGCTCAGAGAGGTTTGTCCAAGTTTGTAAGTGTTAGTGCTGGGTTTGAACATGAATCTTCAGACAAGGAGGCTAGATCTCATTCATTAAGCCACAGCTGCCTCACTATGAAATTTAATCAATAAATAAATACTTTTCCACTGCGGATTTTCTGTGGCCCCAGCACAATCTCACCAATGTGTTCTTGTTGGAGTGCTTCTTTGTGTATGGTCCTATATCTGTGCCCCAGGGTGTGTCATCTATCTCTGTTTCTTTAGACGGGAGACCTCCAGAGCGCAGGACCCTGCCCCTACTAAGGTTCTTCCTGCATATCCATCTCTGATGTCCATGTGGGGTTCCACTATGGCAGGCCACTGGGCCAGGCATTCATTGACTGGCCAACTGAACAACTGTATAGAGAGGAGAGAAGGGCTTCTTCATCTTCCGACCGTGCTTATAATCAAAATGGATGTTTCCTACAGCTGCAAGGGAAACCATGGCTTTGTTTACTGGAGTGTAAAATGGAGCCGAAGATATTCACTGGCAGAATAAATACCAGACATCTCAGGGTCTCATTTGGGACAGAGTCCTTGCCCAGACCTGGCTCCTGATGGCCAATGAACACTTTGTCATTTGTGTTTTGGAATTAAGAAAACGAGTTCTGCATGTTTTCTACCATCACAAAGAGCAGCAAATTGAATTGGTGCCATTGTAAACTTGATTGTTGTTGCATAGAAAAAAGCCTCATTAAGTCCCTCCTGAGGAGAGAAGAATTTTATTCTGAGGACAGAAGTGAGGGGGGCTTCTAGCTTGTCGTGGTTACAACAACAAAACAGTAAATGGAGGAAATAATTAAATAACTGTACTTTTCCCCACAAACCTCGTCAAGAGGCTGAGTGAGTTTTTAATTAGTGCTGCATTTTCAATAAATCCGTATCTGTTCGTGGTGCTGATTCTTCCCTGGATAAGGAAAGATAATAATGAGAATCCTATTTTTCAGTCCCATACTAAAGGGATGCCTAGTATATTTAATCATGCCGTAGAAATCCTGGCAGCTTTCTCTGAGCCCAGCCTCTGCTCTAATTACATTTCTAGATTTTAGTAAATTGAAAGGGAAAATGTAGGAACAAAATAATTAAAATCGAAGAGGAAGTGCATATTAAAAAGGAGAAGCTGTTTAAAATTCTTCCACACAGTGCTTCCAAGGACATCTACAGTCATTTAATCAGATCCACACCAAATCAAAGTCCTTTGTACAGAGGCTAGTGGGATCACATCTCATATGGGTGGGATGGTCCCTACAGTAGAATGGGAACGTTATCACACCAGACTACAGATGGGGATAGGACTCTTATGTCCTTCCAGATCTCTGGAGATTCAAGGCCAGCCTGGACGAGCTGCTGGTACAGATCCACTAGCCCCGAGGAGTTCCCTCCCAGGTCCTAGGCAGAATCTGACTAAACTGTAATGATGAGTTCCAGTTGTGAGGTAACTAAAGTATGTTGTCCATGCGTTCAGTTTCTTCCTCCTGCACCCCTTCCCTACCTCCATGCTCTAATCTCCAAGGTGTCCTCCTTTTCTTTCTTCTCTGCTGTCCTGCAAAATCCAAAATTAAGACAACAAGAATTGAACAGCATCATGACACCAGGAGTCAGTTACTAGTGACAGGTTTCTGGGTTGCCTGTGAGGCACTCTGAATTTTCACAAGGACTGAAAACCTTGCTGGTTTCAGCCCAAGGAATGTTTCTTGGTGATGATGTTGAGTGAAATCTAATTGGAAAGTTTCAAGCACTAGCCTAATAGGTGACAAAAGCTCTTTGTTTCAAGCGGGGCAGACACAGTAACCACATCATTGTCCAATTTAAGATCTCCATTTCTTGATCATTTTTACTGAAATTCAGGTTGGGCAAGCTCTAGGAGTTGGGAGTGTTTCATCCATGAGTCCTAGGACCTTTTAAGCTGTGAGACTGCAAGGTCTGCTTGTATATTTGAAAGTGGAAGACAGCCTGGTACTGTCAGGGGTTTCTTTCCAAACTCCTGTGGCTTTGCTCAGGGGTTCCCAGGCTCCCTTGCTCAACAGACTCACCAGCCACTTGGCGCCAGCACGCATGTGGCAGGAGACTGTGAGCACTGTCTCCTGGAGACAGTGCCACAACAGCAGGGCTTCCGGAAGCTGTTCCCAAGGCAGGGCTCACACTTTGTCACCTTATGACCCACAAGTTCATTTGATTGCTCTTTTGGGTCCAATGCCTTCTCAAGCGCGCGCGCGCGCGTGTGTGTGTGTGTGTGTGTGTGTGTGTGTGTGTGTTCAACATATAATACTGTCTCAGTATGGAAAAGAGACAGTGCCTACTCTGGATTATTTGGCTTGATTCAATAAGAATAATTTTCAAAGTTTAAGCTAAAGGAAAGAATCATAGCAATAAAATCCCATTACTGATGTTATTACTACAACGGAGAGATGACTTTTTTTTTCCCTCGCAGGTCCAAGATGCTCTGAGGCTTTTTCCTTTGCTAAACTCAAGAATCACTGATGGCTCTTGGGATCTAGAATGTGAGACCTACTGGGGATCTAGGTGTCCAAGACAACAAATTATTAATCAACTCCTTTAAATTGTCACTTATATGCCCCCCCATGGTACTTATTTCTGTTTCCAAATGCTAAAATTTAAAAGTTACTGAAAAGTCTCTAGCATTATCATCAAGTCCAAAACACCTTTGACTAAGAGTTGGTTAGAAAAAAAGAGGTAAAAGACTTTGATAATCCGTAAACTGCTTGCAAATATAAGTTGCTGCTGATAAATGCCTTTATTGTTACGCCACCACCCCGACTCCCCTTGGTGTGCCTCTATATGGTCCTCGCACCTCGGAGCAGCCCGAGGCGCCCTGCACGAGACCTCCTCCGAGTTCCCGCCTCTTTCTTCTGAGGCCCCTCCTTCCCCTCAAATCCCCTGGCCCTGGTGAGACCCCGGGACGCATGCGCGCTAGGAAAGTAGGCGGAGTCTTGAGGAAGAGCGAGGAAGGGCTGGAGAACCCAGAGAGGGGAGGGGAGTAAAGTGGGAGGAGGCCGCGCGGGGTGGGGCCCGGCGGGTACGCGCTCGCTGCGTCGACGTGCTGACGCCATGACGCCTCGGCCGGTGTGTATCGGTGTGTGTGTATGTGTGTGAGTGTGCGCGCTCCATTAGTGTGTGTGTGTGTCTGTGTGTGTGTGTGTGTGTGTGTGTGTATTTGTGTATCGGCGGTCCCGCAGGTCCCGGATGTTGCGGACAGTATGAGGCGAAAGCAGGGGGACGGGGACCAGCAGCTGTCGCCGCCGCTTTCAGGTGAGTGGGGGGGAGGAGAGTCGAGGGAGAGGGTTTTCCTGTTGGAGTGGGGGGGGCGCCTCCCTTAAGGGGTGATTGCCCCCCCCTCCCCCTGCCTCCCCTCACCCCCCCGGCCACACATATACTCTGCCCCATTTCCCACAACCCGGGTTACGTGGCTTGTGTATACCAGAGCCTAATCAACCGTTCCTTCTCCCAATCCCAAGCATTCAAGAGACACAAACGCGCCCCCTGCCTTCAGCCCCCCCCATCATTTTCCCAGCCCCATCCCCCTTGACAAATAGTGAGCTGTCGCCTGCGGCGAGATGGGTGACTGCGCATGCGCGAGTGTGAACGAGCTAGGGGGTGCTTGTTCGGTGCCTTCGGGGCGCATGCGCATAGCTGTGTTACAGGGACCTGCGGGATAAAGAGCCCCTTGACCACGCGTCCGCCTTCTTCCCATGCAGTACGCTAGAGTTGCTGCCAGATAGTGAGCCTGTTGCGCCTATCCAAAAGAGAGGATTGGAATTGTTTGAGGGACTTATTGTCAAAGCACTGTTTGCATCTGGTGTTGGCGTTAGAGATTCCCTGGCTACAAACGCCTCCCAGAGCCAGCGGTGTTCCACGCTGACCCTTCTTTTGAAACTGTCACTGCAACTTCTAGTTCTAACATTACTTTTCTTCACTCTCATCGTCATGCTGTACCTTTAATGCAAACATCCCGAAATTTAGGAGTAGGTGCTCCAAAGTATTCAGTAACTGGCAGGGGATTTTGGTAGGCCTTCTGAGGAGGATTTAAGGGTCAAAAAAGAAAGCAAGGAGGGGGGGTTCGTTTAGTAAAATAATTATCTTCACAGAACTAAGTAAGGTAGAGATAAATAGCACACAATATAAGGCTTAGAGTAGTAGCTGTAAATCAAGACATGAGGTTCTCTCATCTCCAGCCCTCTTACTTTGTGTGACCCATTTGCCTCTTTCTTTGTAAAAGATCTCTGTAGCTTCCGTTTTAGCTGTACATTATTAATGCTCTGTGAACATCACATGCAAACAAACGCAATCTGAAACTACTGGTGGATGATAACTTACCTAGTGGAAGTTTTAACTTTAATGAGAATGAAGTTTTTTTCACATTTACAAGTAACAAACAGCAATTCTAAACAAGGAACTTTAAAGTACAGTACTATTTTAGTGATCTAGGTCCTGGGTTTTCCGTTGGCAGATTATCCATGGTCCTTTAACTTGCTCTTTTGCATACTTTGCTGCTTCTTACCTCTGCCATCAGAACAGGGTGAGAAAATGATAAACTCTTGTAAACAGGTTTGCTGAATGGCATTAACATGAATAGCTGAATTGTTATGGAGGGAGCATTTTCTGTGTTTTTTGCTTACTTTGGCCAACCGTGTCTTCTATCTGGATAACTGGGAATGGGATATGTTAGTAAGACTTATTTTCTGTTCCTTTCCTTTGTGTTGTTTCTTTGGTATTCTCCTTCCAAAGCTTTTTTTTTTTTTTTTTTTTTTTTTTGTTTTTTTAATAATCACAATTATCTTCACCCTAGGTTCTTGGACCTTAAAGTATATATATATATATTTTTCCTTTCCCCATTTAACTCTGGCCTTTGCATGGCTCAGCTATCTTTTGTGCTGTTTTCTGTTGCCATGGTTACAGTGGCGCCAAGAGATGACATGGAAGCATAGGAGTTTGAGGGGTGCATCTCCTCCTGTGTCCTGGGAAAGAGCTGGACACTTTTTTTTTTCTTGTGTGAACACTGAAGAGTATGTTATTGTGACAACCCCACTCTTAGAGTGGGGTGGTTGGTGTCCGTTTGGTACTTCGGTAACTTCTCCTTTTAGAGCTCTTCATAATGTTTGGTTTGTATCTTGTTTACCCTTCCAGAGATAGTTGATGCTTTTACAAGCATATACAACTATATATTCTTTGGTGTTTTTTATTTTTTGTTGTTGTTTTACACAAATGGTACGAAACTATACCCACTATTTTGCACTTTGCTTTTTTCATTTAATATATCTTGACCATCATTCCATACAGTACATAGGGTATCTCTTTTTGTAAGATGGCGGGTATTCCTTAGTATAGCTGTACCATCATCATTCATCCACCTCATTGGATACTTAGGTTGTTTCCAGAGCTGCAAGTAATTCCCTGTATGTACTTTTTATGTACATGGGGTCTGTTGGGTAAATTCATAGTGGAAGTGCTGAATCAGAGGATATATGCATTTTTAATGTTGTTAGATATTGTTAAATTGCTTTCCAGAGAGGTTTTATAATATGAACTTATATTCCTGCCAGCAGAGTATGAGTCTGCCTCTTTACTCACCAACACTGTACTGTCAAAAATTTTTAAAAATCTATATGCAGCCTTTTATCTAAGATTTTAAAATTAATTATGTAGCTTGTTAAGCTTCATTACACCCAGGAGTTGTGGATAAATGCCGTCACTCTTTTGCAGATAGTAGTGTAGTGGTGGTAGAAGATACTATTCAACTGAAGAATAATGTCATGAGAATCAAGTTATATTCCTGGATAACACAACACACCTGTTGCAATGCTAGAAAGACATGTAAAACCTATATTATATTCTAATTTTTTTCTTTGTTAGATGCTGGTTTTTCTTTGTGAAGTACTATAAGCCCATAAATGAAGTTTTAAGATTTCCTTTTGATAGCTGTGACTCAAAATTGTTTATACAAGTGAACTGCCATTATGTTGAGGAATTGAAAAGCTAACTCAGTTATGGTACTTTACAGAGTGCTACACAGAATATTGGTACTAGTACTTTTTAAAAGTCTGTTGATTGCGGAGTACTTCACTATATCTGTGCCTGAAGGAGCTTATAGTCTAATTGGAAAACCAGATCTACTGAATATATGAAATAATAAGAGAATAGTTAGAAAACAGAACAGTAATAGTAGTACACTGTGTCCAGTGCTGTGAGGACTTTGTAAATGAGTGATTAAGATTTAGAGGAGAGTTCATTTGAGACACCTTTCTGATGATAGTGCATTTCGTGTTCCCTCTTTCTTTTTTTTTTTTAACTGTGTAAGTGAAAAATGTTAAACAGAAAAATTGAAAGAATAGTACAGTTGTCACCTTTATACTAATTATCCCCTAGATTCAACAGTTGTTCTCATTTTGCTATATTTGCTTTATCTATATATGTGCATGTATGTTTATATATATAATATATAAATTTTTATATTGCAGACATCTCGACACCTTAATACTTTAATACTTTACATTAGATGCATCTTCTTAAAGTAAATACTTTATTTTACTTAATTATTCTTATAATACATTGTCACAGTTAGAGCAATTACTAGTAATTTCCTAATGCCATCTAATACCCAATTCATGTTCAGATTTTCCCAGTTGACTCAAAGTTGACACCTTTTAGCTATTGGTATTTTCTCCAAACATGTCTCTTTAGTCTTTTTAAGTCTAGAAGTTTATTTAGAACCCAAACGATACTGACTTTTTGAAGAGACTAGGCCATTTATCTTACAGAGTATATCACTTCTGGAATTTTCTGATTGTTTCCTCATAGTTTCATTTAATTTGTTTCTTTATCCCCGAATTTCCTATAACTGTCAGTGAAGTCTAAAGGCTTGATTAGATTCAGGTTAAACATTTTTGATAAGAATACTTAATAGGTGTTGCTCTGTACCTCTTATTGTGTCACACTAAGAGAAACGTAATGTCATAATGTCCCAATATTAATGATGCTGAGTTTGTTTGATCATTCTTTAATATGATAAATACCAGATCTCTCCATTGTAAAGACTTTTTTTTCCCTATGTAATTAGCAGGTAATCTGCAGAGTGATGACGCTTTGGCACCATACTATTTATTATATTTCTCCAGCAACCTTTAATCTAATGATGATGATCCTTGCCTGAATCAGTTATTTTTGGTTGTTGCAAAATGGTAATTTTCTAATTCTGCCATTCCCCCAATATTCTGTAAATGTTTTCTTCATCAGTTAGGAATAAACTGTAATTTCTACCAAAAAGTTCAGGTAAATTCCTAATTTTCCTTTTAACAATTTTCTTAGAAGGTATAACTATCAATTCCAATGATGGCAAATGAATTATTTCTTTTTCTCTCCTTGTTTGAGAATCATAAACTCATGGGTTTTAATTTATTCTGTGTTTTACCAACGATCACAGACTTTTTTTGATGCTCAAAATGTCTCATATTTGGCCTGTGGAAGCCCTTTTAAACTTGGTGTATGAGCACTTCCTTGTCCTCTAGTACAAGAAGTTCCTGGCTTTATATTCTCCTGTCCCGGATGTGGAACCCTCACATCTGTGCTTGCACGTGCGTGTGTGTGTGTGAGAGAGAGCTCCCGTGTGTATAGGTATAGATATCACATAGTCTTCCCTTTTAATAAATTGTTGTTCATCTCCCTATATCGCTTCTGGAACCAGATTCTAAAAACTAAAGGTGCCTTTGTTTTAACACAAAGCACTTAGTGTTTGACTCACTTCTGTACTGCTGGCAAGGCTGGATTCTGGATCTTAGACCTCACAGATTCCTTGTCTTGAATACTCTTTGTGAAAGACAGGTAGTATTTCTGAGGAGAGCATTGCTTCCCCACAACCCCCTTCCTCCTTTAACATAAGGTTAGTTGTAGAAGAAACTGGGGGATTTTCTTCTTTCTTGAGCAGCCTTGCTTTTTTTCTGAGATGAAACGTACACAGAATGAAATTTAGAGACTGAAATTGTGTTCATAAGCTTTCTGGGAGATGTGAGGTTTTGATTGTTATGTAAAAACATCATTGTATGTATATGCACAAGTATGTATTTGTCTTTCCTCTCTTCCTCATTTACATGCATTTCTCCGCACAGTTGGAGTGTTATGTAAGGTTATTCCATAATAGCATTTTTTTCTTTATCATCAGATTTTCTTAATGAAAAAAGAGGGAGACAAATTGTTCTTAATTAGGGAAAAATTTCAGATAGGCCATGGACTCTGATATCTAGCTGTCTTAACTCAGA